TCCTCCTCCTCCTCCTCTTCCTCCTCCATCAACCTGGCTTTCGTGCGACGTGTGGCAGCTTTTCGCATCTCGCCACTCGAGTACATGCTCGTCACAAGTCGTTTGACCTCCAGCATCATCCCGCCCTTCTCGGCCTCTCGCTCGATTCGCTCGTTCGGTCCATCGCTCCGTTCCGCTTCTCTTGGTCCCTCCGCCCGCTTCTCCTCCAGCAGGATCCTCCGCCTCAGTCACCTCTCCTCAAGCACAGCTCCGTCTCACTTCATTCCGCGTCGGAAATTCTCCACCGCCTCCAGCGTACGACTCGCCAACATGACTTGGACTGCTCCGGACCCTACCTCGGTCGGCGCCCCCGCCCCGCGAGTGCCCGAGGACAAGCACACCCACGCCGAGGTCGACCAGTACAAGCCCGTACACCTCCACCTCGACTGGAACATCGATTGGGACGCACGCATCATCTCCGGTCGCGTCTCTCACGACATTGAGCTCATCCAGCCCGGCCTCGACTCCATCACGCTCGACGCCAGCTACCTCAAGATCAACTCGGTCGCCGTACAGGGCTCCAAGGTCGACTACTCGCTCGGCACACAGCGCGGCACCCTCGGCGCTCCTCTCCAGATCCCCATCCCCGCCACCGCCAACAAGAAGGGCGACAGGGTTCACGTCGAGATCGACTACGCCACCACCGAGCACTGCACCGCTCTCGGCTGGCTCACCAAGCAGCAGACCGCCGGCAAGACCAACCCTTTCCTCTACTCGCAGTGCCAGGCCATCCACTGCCGCTCCCTCGTCCCCTGCATCGACTCGCCCTCGCACAAGATCACCTACACCGCCACCGTGCACTCGCGCATCCCCGTGCTCATGTCCGCGCTCAAGGACGACGACAAGCCGAGCCAGAATGGCACCTACCACTTTAAGCAGCCCGTCGGCATCCCCTCCTACCTCATCGCCATCGTCGGCGGCGATCTCGAGTTCCGCAAGCTCGGCGAGCGCACCGGCATCTGGGCCGAGCCCCCCAACGCCGACGCCGTCCAGTGGGAGTTCGAGGCGGACGCAGAGCGCTTCCTCGAGCATGCCGAGAAGGTCATCTCGCCCTACTCGTGGACGCGATACGACTCGGTCGTCCTGCCGCCTTCCTTCCCCTACGGCGGCATGGAGAACGCCAACCTCACCACGCTCACGCCTTCGCTCGTGTGCGGCGACCGCAGCCTGACCGACGTGCTCCTGCACGAGCTGTGCCACTCGTGGTCCGGCAACCTCACCTCGTGCGCCAACTGGACCCACTTCTGGCTCAACGAGGGCTGGACCGTCTATCTCGAGCGTCTGCTGCTCCAGGACGTGCACGGTGCCAAGGAGGGCCCTGCCCACCGCGGCTTCTCGTACATCATCGGATCCAAGGCGCTCAAGGATGCGCTCGCGCAGTTTGCCGACAACCCGCGCTTCCAGCGTCTCATCCCCGCCTTCAAGGACGGCGAGGACCCGGACGACGCATTTAGCTCCATCCCTTACGAAAAGGGCTCCAACTTCCTCCTCTACCTCGAGCGCACCGTCGGCGGGCTCGACAACTTCCTGCCGTACGCAAAGAGCTACTTCCACGCCTTCTACAACCGCTCCGTCACTACGCACGAGTGGCGTGAGCACCTGTTCAAGTTCTTCGAGTCTAACGCCGATGCCACCGCGGCGCTCAACAAGGTCGACTGGGACGCATGGCTGCACGGCGAGGGCATGGAGCTGCCGGTCAAGATGGAGTACGACACCACGCTGGCCGAGCAAGCCTTCTCGCTCGCCGATCGCTGGATCAAGTTCCTCGACGGCTCCGCAGGTGAAAAGGCGCACTTTAGCCTCGACGACATCAAGGGCTGGAACGCCAACCAGGTGGTTGTCTTCCTCGAGCGTCTTCACTCGGGTCCCAAGGTGCCGCTCGCCGTTACGCAGAAGCTGGACGAGGTGTACGGCTTCGGCAAGGCGACCAACGGCGAGGTGCTGCTGCGCTTCTTCGAGGTGGCCCTCGAGGTCGAGGGCGGACAGTATGCACAGCAGGCCGCAGAGTGGGTCAAGGGCCAGGGCAGGATGAAATTCTGCAGGACCGTCTACCGCGCGCTCAACAAGGTCGAACCGCAGCTGGCCAAGAAGACGTTTACGGACAACAGGAGCTTCTACCACCCCATTGCGGCGGCTCAGATCGAAAAGGTAAGTACGATCAATGCCCGTCAGAGTGCTGGGGATGAGGGTCGAGGTTCACGTGCGGACCGTGGTGCTGACATGCATCGATGCGGTGTCGCTTCGGTCGATCCGATCTTTCTCTTCTCTCCCACTCTAGGATCTTGGCCTCTGAGAACGCGCGCACTGAAACCGCCTTTTCTTACACGACACTTGCAATTCTGTGTTTTTCTTCTCTTGTGGTTGTGGCTGTGAACAGGATTTGGGTCTGGCTGGCGCGGTGGAGATGGAGGGGGAGGTGGTGACGGTGTTTGGGAGTACGGGGACGGGCAAGACCAAGCTATCTGTCGAGCTGGCGGTTGCATTGCAAGCGGAGGCAGGACGGTTCGGCGCATACACGAGTGGCGAGGTGATTTCGTGCGACAGCATGCAGATCTACAAAGGGCTCGACGTTATCACGAACAAGGCGACGCCGTCCGAGATGCAGGACATCCCGCACCACCTCATCGGCTTCCTCGACCCAGCGGGTGATGGAGACAGCTACGATGTGACGCGCTTTGTGGCGGACACCAACCGGATCGTGTCCAAGCTGCGTGCCCAAGCCAAACTGCCGATCATCTGCGGAGGCACGACGTACTATCTCCAGCACCTTCTGTTTCCAGGTCGACTCGTCACCACGCCCAACACGGACGCCGGGGTGGATCTGGAGCAGAACGAGACGTACCGCGGCCTCAGCGGTGAGGAGCGGGAGTTGCTTCACCAGGTCTCGCCGGATAACGAGGCAAAAGTGGATCTTGCAACGCGTGCGGCGGAGGATAGCGAGTTGGGGATGAAGCTCTGGCAGCTTCTGCAGCGCATCGACCCGGCTATGGCGCAGAGATGGCACTACCGCGATGCACGCAAGATCGCCAACTCGCTGCGCGTCTACAAGGAAACCGGCGTCCCTCACTCGCAGTGGATTGCACAGCAGGACTCATCGCCCATCGCCCCTGTCGAAGGGGTGAGTGGATATCGCAAGCTGCTATTCTGGCTCTGGTGTGATCCACCCGTTCTTCGAGACCGACTCGATGCTCGGGTCGATGAGATGGTCACACGCGGGTTGGAAGCCGAAGTCCGCCAGATGCACGCCATCGCCCAAACCTTCACGCACACCTACACCAGCGGTATCTTTCAGACTATCGGCTACCGGCAATTTGCCGAGTACCTCGATCGACTCGACACGCTAGCTTCGAGTGCGGCGAAAACGGCAGCTTTCGTCGAGGCGGTCGAGGGCACAAAGACGGCTACACGACAGTACGCAAAGTCGCAACTCAAGTGGGTGCAGAATAAGCTGGTCCCCGAAGTGCGTCGTGCACAGGCGGCGATTGCGAGCGGCGACGTCGAGCTGTACCTCCTCGACGCCACCAACCCTGCAGAGTGGGACGATAAGGTTCGCACACCGGCGCAGGATATCCTTGCGCGGTTCTTGCGCCGCGATGCTCTGCCAGATCCTGCAAGCGTATCCAATCCCCGAGCTGCCGAACAGTACTTGATGGCTGGACGAACCGCCAACCAGGCACTCACCAAACTCGGCGCGGATGAGAGCGCTCCAGAGGGCGTGCAGACCATCCAGGCTAACCGACTGTACACCTGCGACGTGTGCACGTGGGACCCCACCCAGCCCGTCCTCGTCCGATACGTCGACAGGGATACGCATAGAAAGGGCAGAGTGCATCGCAACAACGTCAAGCGCCGCATGCCCGACGAAGAAAAACAGAGGAGGATCGAGGAAAAGATCCGTCAGGGCCAGCAGAAGGCCGCTCTCCGCAGACCTGTCCATCCCGATACCGATTCGCAGGAGTAGAATCCCTCATTCCCTCATCCTATGTCGTGTTAATAGTATACCCCGGAACGAACGAGCGAATCATCCCTTTCATCCTACACAAAGCCCGGCCACCCGCGCCATTGAGACTGTGACATGCGAGTTGCGACAAACAAGAAAGCAAAGGCGAAGGTCTAGAGTGCCTGTGTGGCGTCTATCTCGATGGCGGGCACGATGGACGCCATGAACTTGAGGAAGATGATCATGTACTGGTCCACCCTGAGTCCCTGGACATCCTCCTCGGCAGCCTCTGCGCCTTCTGACTGCGCGGTCGCTGGTGCCTCGTCAGCCGTGCTGCCCGTGACGCGCTTGACGGCACTCGCGACGCTCCAAGCCTTCTTCTTCTTCTTATCCGGCGCGGGTGCTCCTGCGCCTCCCGCGGCTGCTGCCGCCTTGCGCTGCTCCTCGATGACGCTGGCGTTCATGCGCTCGATGACCTTCTTCATCACGCTTGCGTGCTTGCACGGATGGATGCTCGCCGTCGCCACGCCTGCCGCACTCGCCGACGACGACGACGCCGAGCTGTCCGGCCCCGCATGGCCGTGCGGGAACGGCTCGATGGTCACCGTCTTCTGCGCATAGTCCGACGAGACGTCCTCGAAGATCTGCGCGGGCTTGAGCGGGACGCCGTGCTCGTCGTAGCCGACGAGCCACATGCGCGGTGTCTGGTAGTACTTGTCGTACGTGATGATGCAGTCGTACTTTCGCACTGAGAGCAGCTTTCCGTTGTCGCCCGCCGATGTATTCGCGCCTGCAGCAGACACGGCGGCAGTGGCAGGATCGTCTTCCTCCTCGACGCCGCCCGCAAGGTCGTCCGCCTCATCTTCCATATCTGGGATGTCGGGGATGTCTGGAATGTCGCCGATCTCGCCGGCAGATGTAGATGGGGGCATTGTGTTCTGGCTGCCAACGCTGATACCGGCGACACGTGCAGCGAGATCGTCCTCCTGGCCCTCGGTGAGCTGGTGCTCGGGAGCTGATTGGTCCTCGCCGATGTCGGGGATGTCGATCATGTCGGCTACGCCGCTGCTGGAGCTCTTGTTGGCGTCAAAGTGGGTGGCGACCCACTGGTCGTCGTCAGCGCCGTCGTCGCCGTCGGCAAAGCTCATGAGACGCTCGTCGTCGTCCTTGACGCCGACACCGACGCCCTTTTCGATCTGGCTGACACGACGCAGCGAGGGAACTCCGCACGAGATGAGGAACTGCTTGTCCTTGGGCAGATAGTCGCGCGCCTTGGACGGGCTGCCGGCGCACCACTGCCATGTGGGGAACTTGTACGAGAGAAAGTCGCCTGCCGCCACGAATTCATCTGCGATGCGAACAACGACGGTATGGAGCATCAGATGTCAGCATCGTTGCCATGTGTCGATGTGCTGGTGAAAGAGCTTGGACGTACCTGGAGTGATTCGACCGTGCTCCTTGAACTTGGACTCGCGCAGCACTGGCGACAGATACTCGCGCACCGCCCAGAAGTGGGTCTGCAGCGCGTTCATGATGGGCGTCTGAAGGACGTGCGGTGGCGACGGCGACTCCTCGAACAGTGAGCGGTGCCAATGGGTGCTGAGTAGGAAGATAGGGCCGACGTTGAGGATGGTGGGAGAATGGAGTGGGATGGAAAGGCGCGCAGCAAGTGGTGACTGGCACCTCAGCCGCCCGGACCGCACCCACACAGCACCAACCGGTGCAGGGATGGTCTGTGTGGCATTTCTGAGCTGCGCCGCGCTTGATTAGACCCTGGCTGCTCTCAAAAAGGGATGCGCGTGGCAGCTCGCAATCTGGGCATGTTAAGGCGTTGCACATTTGCCTGCTGAGCGAAAAAATACGAGAAAATCCATGCTGAAAAGATAGCCACAAAATAAAGCCGAAATGCTCCCATTGTTAGGCCGTTCTCGGCCATCTCGCATCTGGCCGGCCGCCCTTCTGCACAAGCCAACGAGCTTGTCAATCGCCTTCAAGCCACACTGAGCCACGAACCTGTTCCAGACCAAGCGGCACGTCCAAAGACCGAGACCTAAGTTGGCCGGTGCAGCCAGCGCCTCGGATTTCGGGTGAGAACCAACACGGTCGGGACGATCGCAGGTCTTGCGCATGCATATGCACATGCACAGCCTGACCACTCAACACAGTTGATTACACATGAATCGCTGCATGAGTTGCTTGGTCTGCATGGTTTGCGGGGTAGCAAAAGCAGTTCTAGACACCATCCAAGCATTGACCGGTATCGCATCGTCGGAGCTTGGACGAGTGCAGACACCTGGCACCGTGGCGGGTCCTGAATGGAAGGGTCTGGTGGTCTAGAACTCGGCCAACCAAGTTTGAACGTTGAAACCCGATGCACCGTCCGGTCAACGCGCGTGGGGAACTGCCCTTGGCAGAGTTGCAAAGCCCGATTGCTGCTGGGCTTCAGCTGACGCGGAATGCAGACTGTGATTGATAAAAGTGCGTCTCGATATGGCCTTTTATGCGGGGAATTCGGCTCGATCTGACGCTCCGATCGCGGTGTCCAATTCGAATGTCGACGCACCAGGTACATGACGATCGAATAGCGCATCGGCTACGGCGCTTAAGAGCGCGTATGACCGACACCGCCTTGCAGTGCTCAGCAATCCCTCACCTCGATGCTCAGCCTAAACTTTCTCTCTCGCCCCCTGTCGTGACGTCCGGGACACCGCTCGGCTGGAGCCATGCCGCCGTGCGTTTGAGAGCCGCCTTACGCTGCCTGTGCCGCAGCGTGCGTCGGCGATCCAGTGGCCAAGCGAGATTGCAGCCGTGCCGTCTCGGTGTGCCAGTGCCGAGACGAAGGTCAGCGGCACACCGATCGACTGCTTAAGCATGAGCCGGATTGCCGGTGCAAAAGAGCAAACGGGCCAGCCAGCTGTGCTCTCCCAGCCAGGATCTCAAATGGAGTAGTCTATCTAAGGTGTGCAGCATCTCAGTGACGCTGGCTGGTTCGTATCGCGGCAGCTTGCAGCGGGGACAACCTGCATGCTTTGCTGGTACACACAGTCGACACGATTGTCTACTGAAACTGAACTCGAAAGCAGGCTGAAGCCAAGGCGCCAAGATTCTCATCCTTCGGGAGACGGTCGAAAGCTAAGGTTCGGAAAAGAGGTTCCGCTGTAGCGGGACGAGAGACATGGTGCCGGAGGTTGGCCGTGTCCAAGTGCACGATGGCCACTTTGTGCACGAAACCCAAAAGCCGGGAGGCCGACGACGACGAAGCAGGTGGGAACAGAGCTGCCTCATCAAATGCACGGCAGGCAGGATTCGAGGCTGAAACAAAACGCACGCATCCGTAGAGGCGGGCAAGCAGGGAACACTGTCAAGACGGGGCGAGAACCGCTTCTCGATCTACGTGGAGGATTCGAGACCGCGCTCACTCATGCCAAACTTGCCTGCTTTTTTGCGCTTTCTTTTTCTTTTCTCTCTCAAGCCGCACTCTACCAGCCCGTCATGGGCGGCCCGGCAGATGGCCCCAGGGACCTGCATGTCGGGTTGACTCAGAACCCTGGGCACTACCTTGCTCTGCAGTGGCGGCTCCGCCCAGGCCGGATTGGACCGCCATGCCGCCTGCGATGTAGGTGGCGTGCTGCTGCGCCCAAGCTGGTGTACCGCGATACGAGGACGAGCTGCCTCCAAATGCCGGCTATCGTTTGCTGGTTGCCTGCCAGAGTGCCCTCGACGTCCCAGCTTGGCGCGAATTCTCTCCACCCTGGCCCGCCCCGTGTCTATTGTAGCTGCTCAGACCGTACTGAAACCTTCTTTCCGTATCACCATCTTTCATTGTCGTTGCCGCTGTACCATTGATCAGCTTGTCGACACTCGCCGTGCAGGAACAGCTCAATTCAGCTGAGGAGACGGTGCACTACTTCCTTTCAGCTTCATCTCATCTCTACATTTACTATTCTTGGTGCTCGATCTTCATATCGCCTACGTACTAGACATCTCTTTGGCGTCAACAGCCTCGATCTTATCCTCGAGCGACATTCTAATAACCTCACATCAATATACCGTCGGCCGACAGTTTCCCGACATGCTTCACCAACAGAGTGCATCGATGGGGTCGATGGGCATGCAGAAGCCCAGAGTGCATCTGGAGCATCCGCCCTCGATCCCGCGCTCGTACATTTCGAGCGACAGCACGGTCAACTTGAGCGTGCTTTCCTCACCCGCCCGACCGCCGGCGTCGTTTACGCGCAGCAGCTCGTCTCGCAGCTCAGTCGCATCGGCGCTTCCTAAGCGGCCGTTCTCGAACTCATCATCGCGCCAGTCGTCGTCCGACTCGATCGATTCGGTCAGTAGCTCGACTTCCAGCCGCTTGTCGCCCATCAGCAGCATCGATGCGGCTGGTAGCAGCACCGACGCAAGCAGCGCAGAAGAGGATGACCTCATCCAGATGGTGTATACGTCGTCGGCTCGATCGCGCCACATGTCGACCGACGAAGTCAAGTCGATCCTTCGTGCGTCGCGCAGCAACAACTCCCGACTCGGCATCACCGGTCTGCTTCTGTACCGCGACGGCACATTTGCACAGTTCCTCGAGGGTCCAGCTGATGCAGTGGATGCACTGTACGACTCGATCGAGCGCGATCCTCGCCACCACGGCGTCATCCGTGTGCTCAGGCAGCACGTCACCAAGCGCGACTTCAAGCAGTGGAGCATGGCCTTCAGAGACCTCGACATGATCCGACGCAGATCACCCTCTGCAGAATCCGATGAGGTCGGAGACGAAATCTCGCCCGAGGACCAGGTCAACGAAGGCTTCAGCCAGCTCATGAACGTTGGCCTTAGAGTCGGCGATTCGTCCGACGACGAGTACAGACCCGATGCGCTAGGAAACGCAAAGCTCGACCTGCCTGCAGACATGTCCGCCCCCATGCGCAAGCTCGTCACCACCTTCTACCGACTCATGGACAGGCCTCTGTAACGGCCATGCGCGGTATCTCCTCTCTCATGCTTCTGCATATATACCCTCATCTTCCTGGTTCTTTCTCGCTATTTCTCTCTATCTTTTGTGATCTTTTTGGGCTCTCTCTCTCTCTCTCCTTCTCTCTCTCTCTCTTGATCCATCGGGACGCTCTACACTCTTAGCGTACACATTCTCCCTTCTCTTATTTTGGTGNCTCTCTCTCTCTCTCCTTCTCTCTCTCTCTCTTGATCCATCGGGACGCTCTACACTCTTAGCGTACACATTCTCCCTTCTCTTATTTTGGTGTTTTGGTCACACACACGGGCAATCAAGTCATCGAATCCAATCACGCTCTGGCGTTCTGGCTGCATTCCACCTTCTTGGGCCCCCAATCAAGCTATCTTGAGGTGGACGAAAGAAGTACTGTTTAGGGGCAGGGCAGCCGCTCCATACAGGCTTATGTGAAAGTGCAGCTTTGGACCACGTCAAGGGAGGGTAGGTCCGTTGATACCGAGTCGGTGAGCCGCGTTTTGTACTGTTAGACCGTGGACTAGCTCGGAAGACGGAGATCTGCTCCACGTTATTTTGCTGGTAAAATTTTTGGAAAAACTGAGCGGCAGCGGAGCGAGTAAAATCCAGAAAACCCTTTCCGAAGGGCCCGGGCCTTAGTGGTCCCACAGCTTGGCGCAGCTAAACCTTCTCATCTGCCACCAGCTTTCTGCACATCGACTCTATACCGACATGGCGAAGGGCGCCAAGAGCAGTGGCGGTGCGCCGAGCTTCGGCGATGCACCCAAGACCACCGACCCGCGCTTCTCGCGCGTCCACACCGACCCGCGATTCCTGAAGCCCAAGCGCGACGACACCAAGGTGGTTGTCGACGAGCGCTTCAAGGGCCTCTTCGAGGACGACAAGGGCAAGAAAAAGAAGACCGACAAGTACGGCCGTAGGGTCGCCAAGGGAAAGAGCGATGCCGACCAGATGAAGCGATTCTACCGTCTGGAAGACGACGACCTCGACCCCACCAAGGCCGACGCGGACGACAGCAGCGACGAGGATGACGACGACGACGAAGAGGCTGCTTCCGAGGCTGGCGCGATCGACTATGCGCGTGGCGAGGGCGACCTGGAGTCAAGTTCCGAAGAAGAGTCTTCGGAGGAGGAAGAAGATTCGGACGAGGACGAGTCTGAGAGCGACGAGGACAGCAGCGAGGACGACGTGATGATTGGCCCCTCGAGCGTGATCGACCGCGAGCGCAGAAAGCGAGCGGCTCGCGAGGCGCGTTTCCAAGAGGACGATGACAACGACGATGGGCTGGGCTCGGACATCGGCGACATTGATCTGGACGAGGAGGTGGACGAGGAGGTCTACGCCCAGCTCGACGCACAGGCCGAGCGTGCAATCGCCGAAGGCGGTATCGAGGGCGACGACTCGGACTCGGAGGCCGAGGCATCCTCGTCGCGCAAGAAAGGCAAGGGCAAGGACAAGGCACGCAGGAAGGCGAAATCGAGCAAGGAGAAGATCCCGCGTGGCGACGACACGCACCGCCTCGCCGCCGTCAACCTCGACTGGGACCACGTGCGTGCCAAGGACATCTACAAGGTCTTCAGCAGCATCGTCTCTCCCACCGCAGCCGTCACAGCGGCTGAGGCACTTCAGGCACATCGCCGTGCTGCCGCCGAGCCGTCGTCGTCGCGCAAGGCTGCGCCGGCGATCTCGCAGGTGCGCGGTAAGCTGCTGCACGTGCGCGTGTATCCAAGCGACTTTGGCAAGGAGCGCATGGCCAAGGAGGATCTCGAAGGACCTCCGCCCGAGATTTTCAAGGGCAAACGCAGCGGTGCCGCAAGCGACTCGGAGGACGAAGAGATCACCACCAAGACCATCGTGCAGGTGGACGAGGGCGGCGAGTTCGATGAAGAAGCGCTGCGCAAGTACCAGCTGGACCGACTGCGCTACTACTACGCCGTCGCGACGTTTGACGGCAAGGAAACCGCACGCCACGTGTACAACGAGATCGATGGCACCGAGATGGAGCGCACGGCCAACGTGTTTGACCTGCGCTTCGTTCCGGACGGCATGGAGTTCCCCGACGGCGAGGAGGGTCGCGATGCCGAGTCCCGTGACGAAGCCACCGAGGACGTGGCGAACTACAAGGGCGTCGACTTCAAGACGGATGCGCTGCGCCACTCGCGCGTCAAGCTCACGTGGGACCAGGACGACCCGGAGCGCACCAAGCTTACGCGGCTCGTCTCGCGCGGTGGCCTGACCAAGGAGCAGCTGCGCCAGGACGACTTCAAGGCGTACCTCGCCTCGGACACCGAGTCTGAGCCGGACGAGGACGAGGTTGCGGCCAAGAATGGGCGCGACAGGCTGAGGGCGCTACTCAACGTCGATGGCGACGACACAGGTTTCGGAAAGAAGGGCAAGCGCAGTGGCGGCGTGTTTGACGACCCGAGTCGCGACGACGACGAGCAGGGCGAGATGCAGATCACCTTCATGCCTGGCCTGTCCGAGGCGGTGGGACGCAAGACAGCACATGCGACCAAGGAGGGTGGCGACGAAACGACGCTCGAAAAGTACGTGCGCAAGCAGAAGGAGAAGAAGGAGCGCAAGAAGGCCAAGCGGTCGGGCGAGGAGGCTGGCGACGAGCCCGTCCCCGCGCCCGAGGACGGCGCCATCGCCAGCACAGACGCCGGATTCGACGATCCCTTCTTCAACGAGGATGTCGATATGGAGGCCGCTCTCGCTGCCGAGTTTGGTGATTCCGCTCCTTCTACCAGGACCACCAAGACGAAGAAGGTCAAATCGAAGCCGACGCATGGCGGGGACGCCGAGGATGCGGGCGAGAGTGCACTTGCGCGTGAGCAGCTGACTGCGCTGATCGGCGATACGAACGACGAGCTCACGCCGGATGGACGACAGCACTTTGACATGAAGGACGTGCTGCGCGTCGAGAGCGGCAAGGACGCCAAGCGCGCCAAGCTGCTCAAGCGGCTGAGCAAGAGCAAGCAGCGCGCCGAAGCCGACTTCCAGGCACGCAAGGGTGCCCCGCTGGTGCAGGACACGTTCGAGATCGATGCCAAGGACGACCGATTCGCCGCACTCATGGACGACCACCGCTTCGCCATCGACCCGACGCACCCCGGATTTGCAAAGACCAACGCCATGCAGAAGATCATGCAGGAGCGAAGGATGCATCTCGACCGCAAGAACGGCGATACGCCGAGCGAAAGTGGCAAGCCACAGCAGCAGGACAACGGCAAGGATACCGAGCTCGATGCGCTTGTGCAGAAGCTCAAGCGTCGAAACGGTGCAGAGGGCGAGGACAAGAAGAAGCAGCGCAAGAGGTCGAAGCGCGGATAAGCCAGATTGCAATCCACGCCTCCCACTGGTTCTTGCTGTGACGCTGTGTGCTGAGTTGCAGTGGCGTTTGTGTGGGTGTGAATGTGTGTGTTGAGATTGAGGAGGAATACAAGTACATGCGAGACGTGGACGGCTGGAGGTTAGCTCATGCGTCTTCGGGACCTTCCGAGCCCGGGATGAGCTGTGCACGCGCAATCGATCAAAGCGAAGGAAGCGGTCAGAACGGGATGCATCACGACTGAGCTGCCTTGAACGTCACTCACCATGCAGATGTTGTTTCCGTTCAGAAGTGTCTGGCCGAGCTTGGTCTTCTTCTTCTTGCCGTCCTGTGCAGTCTCGCTGATTCATTCACCGCCGCAGTCGAACTCCTCCGTCAGCCTGATGCTCTTTTCAACTGCGCGAGGCTTTGCGTACTTACTATTCTGTCACATCCTCGAGCACCATATCTGCGCGCGCACAAAGGTCAACAACAGAGTCCAGCGTGCTGCGTGTGTGATAAAGCTGTGAGTTGCGGGGCGTACTTACTGACGTAGTCGTCGAATCCGAGCAGGGTACCGCTGAATTCGCGCTCGGACTTCATGATGACCCAGATGCTGGAGCCGATGCACTTGTCGATGAGCTCGAGCGGGAGGATGGTAGGCAGGGCGGCGGCGGCGGCGGCCGCGCCTGCAGAGGTCACTTCGCCAGCAGGAGCCATTTTTGTCCTCGAACGAATGCGTGGTCGTAGTGTTGCAAACAGTCCCCGTCGCGGACGGAGATGGTGGAAATGCCTTCCAACGCGCTGTTCCGAGTTCCGCATTTTTTGGCCCCACATAGCACGCAACTCCATCAGCGTCCGAACCTGCTTGTGCGCGATCATCAAGTTGCGGGAAACCATGCCCAATCCGGATCTGCAGTCGTACATCGCCTCTCGGTACCTGTCGGGACCCAAGGCTGATGCGATCCTCGCGCACACTAGTGGCGATGGCAAGCCCAAGCGCAAGAAGAAAAAACCCGCCCCCGAAGCTGCCTCGACGGGTCTCGTGTTCAAGGACGACTCGGATGCGTGGCCCAACGCCGCTACCACCTCGGACGGCGAAGATGAGGCCCAAGTTGTAGCTGATTCTGCTTCTGGGTCTAGCGGCTTCAAGAAGGTCGGCACTGCAAGCGCCGCCACCACTAGGGCATCTGAAGCCGACGCTGCTGCGGCGGACAATGCTGGTGGGGAGGTGGAGTTCAAAGCGGGGCTTCGGACCAAAGAAGAGATGCGTGCAGCACGACTTGCGCGCGAAGAACGTCGTCGTACCGCTCCCTCGTCGCCTCCTCAAACAGCCTCGGTGGAGCAAGGTGGGGAGGAGGAGACGGTGTATCGCGACTCTTCGGGACGGCGGATCGACGTCCACGCGGCCGAACGCGAAGCCGCGCTCCACGAAGCCGAGCAGCGTCGCAAAGCGGCCGAGCGCAAAACATGGTCCCAAGGTCTAGCGCAGCAGAAGGCAGCCAAGGAAGCTGCGACTCAACTCGCCTCTGTACGTGATCAAACCGTAGCCCGCCGCGTTACAGACGCCGAGTACAACCGCCACTTCAAGGACCAGCTGCATGCAGACGACCCCGCACTCGCCTTTCTCACAAAGAAGCGAACCCAAGGTCCAGCCAAGCCCGCTTATAAGGGTCCATGGCCCCCAAATAGGTTCAACATCCCTCCTGGCTACAGATGGGACGGCGTAGACCGCAGCAACGGCTTCGAAAAGCTGCTCATCGAACGAAAACACGCCCTCGCTGCTCAGGAACAACAGGCCAGAGGTAAGCCTTAGTCCGTACACCCACAACATGATCACAAAATCATACACCCGTACTGACCTGAACCTTGCCTTTTGACGCAATCCAGCATGGGGTCAGTCAGACATGTAATCCCGCACAACCTCGCAATCGTATACCCGCGCCCACAGTCGCATTCGGAAAAGTGCCACACTCAAAGATTGCGGGCAGAGACCGGTACAAATACAACATGGTCCGGCCTGCGTCCCCAGCACGTGGGCGGGGACGTCATGGCGAGATTTTAGAAATACACGATGGACAAGCCTAGACGCTGTCCGCCTGAGACGGTGGCGGAGCCTCCTCTTCCTCGCGCAGGCTTCCTTGGCGCGGCACGGAACGGCTGGATCCGAGCCTCTGGATGCGGCCAGTGCCACTGCTGCCTGGGCGCGACCCGGGACGGCTGGCGGCAGCAGCTGCCTTGGTCGACGCAGCATCGGCCTTGTCCGCACCGCCAGGCGCAAAGAGCGTCGCATCCGACGAGCGGCGCGACTCGGACTGCTGCGGAGCGTATGTGTCGGGGAAGTCGATCGAGACGCACTCGGCCGTGCCGGGTGTGCCGGGGTACTGCGTCGGCACAGCCGGGGCGGACGACTTGGGCGACACATCGCCTGCCTTGATCGGCGCGCTTCCGTCTACGACGATAGCGGACAGACCGGGCGAGGTGGCTGCTGCGTCCGGCGTCAGCCCTGCGCGCCTGCGCGAGTCGAGCGGAGGCAGACGCACATTGAGGAACGACGGTCGAGTCGGCGTGCCTGCATCCGAGAAGCCCGAGTCGAGGGCGCGCATGTGAGCAGGCTGGTGCTTGGTATCGTTGCTCGCAAAAGGGTCGCCCACGCCGCGCATGCCTGGCAGCACCGCATTGTCCGGCGACAAGCTGTCGGTGAAGCGGTCGTCCCTCCACTTGTACGCGCTGGACAGCGAGGCGAGCACGGCTCCGAAGGCCTGGACGTACACGTTGGCGACGAGCATAAAGCCCATGTCGACGGCCGAGAGCGAGAGGGCCTTGGAGAGAACGAGCGCGAGCGCGTATACGGTGGGCAGCACGTACCCAAAGGCGATGGCAAAGGCGATCTGCTTGGCCCAGCGCAGAGCCGGGTGCGACTTTTTGCTCATGAGCTCGCTGTCGCGTCGACCGAGGTGCCAGTAGCGCCAGAGCAGCATGACCGAGGCGTAGACGGTGTCGACGAGCTGGAAAATGAGCGTGAGCAGGTTGCTGGTGTCATTGGCCGCTCTCGAGACGGTGTAGCCAAAGCCGTCGGACTTGTACACCTTGGCCGAGTTGCTGAGGGTGATGCAGATGGTGGTGAGTCGTGCGACCTTCATGAGCGAGGGGAGAATGCTGATGGCGATGCGCTTCTTCCTGCTGGCGAGCGTAGACGGGTAGAAGGCGAGCAGGCGGAGCTGGATGGCAAAGTGGGTGACGAGCGGCACAATGTAGAGCATGGCGGTGGATGACATCCAGAGACGGAACATGGCGTCTTCGGAAACGTTGCCAAACAGCTGGTACGCCCAGAAAACGGTGTTGAGCGTGGAGCCGAGCAGCCCGCCGAGCATGGCGAGACCGAGCACCCAAACGACAGGAAGGCGACGCTTTTGCGGACTGAGACCGTTCTTGAACAGGACGGCGCAGAGGAGCACAAAGAGCAGGGTGGCGAACATGGAGTAGAGAATAATGTAGGTGACGCCATTGCGGACGAGTTCGACGGGGACGAATTGGGTGGCTTGGGTTTGATTGGTGGAATCATCCTCGACGACGACGAGGATGCGGTGGCGCCACGCCATGTCGTCGGCCTGCCAAGAGGACGTGGTCATGGTGAAGGAGTGGGCGCCAGCGTGGCTGTGTCGCGAACGACGATGACAGGCTCGCGATGGCAGTCTATATGGAGCAAGGTGCCGAAGGGAGGGTCTGCATGGGCGAGAGACGGACGAAGGTGAAGGAAGGGAGAGAAGGCTGCTGACAGTGTCGTAGTGGAGCTTTCACCGAAGCGATGGCGTTCTTTCAGGGCGAGGAAGGAGGCTGCAGCGGCTTAAAGAGAACAATGAAGCTGGAGTGTTTGTTGGGACCGAGCGTGCTGGACTGGCGGGGGCGG